AGTGACAAAGTTTCGCTTTTTCTCCAAACAGGCTTGCCCTATAGGAGCCCTAGATCATTCTAAGTAGTCGGTCTTTGGGGACCCCCCCTCTTTTCCCAATGGCACCCCCCTTTATTTCCAATGGTACCCCCTCCCCCCCTTTTCCAATGGCCCCCCCCTTATTTCCAATGGCGCCCCCCAGCGTGCTTGCTCTTGCTTGCTTGCTCTTGCGTGCTTGCTCTGGCTTGCTTGCTCTTGCTTGCCCTTGCTTGCTTCCACTTGATCGCTGGCTCTTGCTTGCTTGTTATTGCTCGCTCGCGCTTGCTTGCTTCCGCTTGCCTGCTTGCGCTTGCTTGACTTCTCTCATCCCGTCCTCCTCCCGTCCTGCTCCGATCCTCCTTTCGTCCTCCTCCCATCCTCCTCTTGTCCTCCTCCTGTCCTATCAATTTGGAGTCCACGCTGGCTGATATCCAAATGGACCCGCGTAGTCTTGGGATGTTTCAATCGGTTCGTCTTGTCATGGTGTCAAGCATATTATGTTGCTGGATTTTGTCTGCCGTGGCGTTTGCAGGTCCTGAGACGGGCGCTTGGTTCTCGTCGGGCGAGACCAGCAGCATGACGAATGGCATGACTGATAAGTCAAGTAATGCATGTTCTCTGTTTTATTATTCAAGTGTCTTACGTCATTCCGCCGAACCCCACAAGGAGTGAGAGTCCGAGACGATAGTGGAACTTATGTCGTGCGTCAGGAGACTGTTGGATGCATACCAGGGGCTCTTGGGGTTTTGGGGTCATCTGGGATGCTTTTTTGGGCCTCGTGGGTGCCCCTGGGGGGCTTCTTGGGGGCGTCTTTGAGGCCTCTTGGGGCCTCGGGGGCCTCTGGGGGGCTCGAGGGGCCATCTTGGTGGGAAAGGCTCGAAATGTCAGTTTGTATTCCCCTGCTTTGGGCCATTTTGGAACCCTCTTGGGGCCCTCCAGAGCTGTCTTGGGCCGTCCCGGGGCGCCCCTGGGGCTGTCCCTGGGCCCTCTTGGGCCGTCTTGGGGCGCTTTCTTCCTGGAGGCATCATGGGCCGTCTTGGGCCGATTTCGGGGGCCGCTTGGGTCCTCGTGTTCGCTGTCAGGACGTCAATGTGAATTTGCTGAACATGCACGTTTTTCCGAGGGCATGAGACTATTTTCGCCTCTTGGGGCACTCGCGGAGATCCTCTGGAGGCACTTTGGGGCTGTCTTGGGGGCCTCCTGGGCGATCTTGAAGCCATCTTGGATCGTCGTGGGGCTACGCTGGGCCGTCATGGCGCTCTCGCCGACAGTCTTGGCGCTTTGTCTGGGCTTTGTTGGGCTGTCTTGGAGCTTTTGCGGAGCTCCAGAGGCCCCAGGGAAGCGTTGGCGAACTCGTGCCTTCCCTCCCCCCCCGGGCCCCCCCCCTTAAATGCGATGTTTAGCTCCAGGGGAGGGGGAGAAAGGGGGAGTGGAACCGCCACTTATCTCTCACGCCTTTTCACCCCCGGCAAGCGGGGGTCGGCAAATTATGCAGTCTTCTGTTTTCTATCTGGTTGTTTTTGCGATTGATTTCCCCAGGCCAGCGTGGCGTAGCGACGACTTGTGTTTTTCCTCGATGTGTATTGTCATGCAGCTGCCTTCCGAAAGTCCCGCCACCGTGTCAGGCCAGTATTCTCGATGACGATTGGTCGAGAGGGCACCAGAGGCCGTGACGTGTGGCACTTCGAGTCCCCTGGCTTGGGAGAGCCGTGAGAAGGGTCGATGATGATCATGATGATGATGATGATGGTGATGAAACTTATGATGATGATGATGATGATGATGATGATGATGATGATGATGATGATGATGATGATGATGATGATGATGATGATGATGATGATGATGATGTCGACGATGACAACGACGATGATGCAGAGGGTGATGATGAGGATGAGGGTGAGCATGATGAGGATGATGGTCATAATGATGAAGGGGAGTCTGATGATGATGATGGTGATGATAATGGTGACGATGATGGTGGTGGTGGTGGTGATGGTGAAGGTGATGGTGGTGGTTGTGGGGTGGTGATCACGACGCTGCTGCTGATGATGGTGACGATAATGATGATGCTGCTGATGATGATGATGATGATGATGATGATGACGTTGACGATGACGACGATGATGCTGCTGCTAATAGTGTTGATGCAGATGTTTTTTGGTGATGATGCCGACGATGACGAAGACGATGCGACGACGATGATGGTGATGATGCTGATGATGAGGCTACTGCTGATTATGTTGCTTATGCTTCTGCTGATGATGATGCTAAGGATGATGATGAAACTGATGATGATACTGATGATAATGGTGGCGATGCTGATCATGGTCGTGATATTGTTGATGATGAGCATGCTGATGATGATAAGGATGCTGATGATGCTCTTGCTGATGATGATGCTAATGTCGCTGTTGCAGATTCTGTTCATGATTATGATGTTGATGTGGTTTTTGATGATGATACTGATGATGATTAGATT